GCATGAATGTCGGTGCTTGTACTTTTCGCGGTGCTCCATCTTGTTTGTGAGCACTCTGACGCGCCTCGTTCTATCCACAACTGCAGAACAGTCCAGCTCCTTTTACTGCTTGGAGGGTCTACCAGAGTCTAACCAGTAAGTTTTCCTTTGTAGCATGGACTAGAGAGTTAAGTAATTTTTATTTTGTACTACATAGGTTCCACGAAGTTTTTACCATAGGCATGTGAGTATGGTTCATAAGAATGTAAGAAATGTTCTTTATTATAGCTGGCTGTACACACGCAGTGTATCATAAGATGCTGAAATTGGCACTGGGAACACAGGCTGTAAGTAAGGGTGTGTTTTTGAAAACTATTGAAGAAATGTACCTGATTGTTAAAAATGTTTTAGAAGATATGCGTAAAAAGGCACATCAGGAAATGATGCAAATTCCTCCTGAAGAGCTTGGTTCTTGGAAGAGAGCTGTAACCACTGCTGATGGAACCTGGCAAACTCGAGGGTGGCACAGTAAAGAATGCCACCTTCACAATTAGTGGTCCGGAGGTCCGCCAGACTGTGGGACCGGTGGTATGTCAAGAAACGGTGTCCTACAGGACAAGGATCAGCAGGCCGCAGAGCCCCAGGACAAGGAGCAGGGAGAGTGGCAGAGCCACTTTCAAAGTTATACACAGTTCTGCCTGATTCTCTACTTTTCCATTAAGAAATTTTCTAAATGGTGCATTATTATACTATCATCATTCCTGCCAAAAAGGTAGAACAGGCACATCTAAATCTGCTGAGGGTTAAGAGTGTAGAAGGTAACGTAGAAACTTTGACACCGCGCAAGAGAACGTTGGTTTCTACGTTTGTATGCAGCTATTCAGCAAGCGAAAGAGGATGGGATGTGTGTTGCCGCTCATTGGCAGGACGCAGACTCGTCGACTCCACCACCCTGATCAAGGAGTAATTAGCACGGTTCCTTAATAAGTTTTTCTCTCTGATGATGGTTGTAGCTTCTCCCTTTAAAACTTAATGGTGCCCGATTTCAAGGAGAGTGAGAAGTCTATACTAATAGGTGTATGCACAGACATTCTAGTGCCTCTACGCTATCTACATTGTTACAGAGATAGCAAGGTGTGCAGGGTGCTTATGCACTTGTTTGGGGTGGTTCAAGCACATCGCTAGATGATAGTGATTCTGTTACCACAGACAGACAGTGGTGATAACAAAATGAGGGAACCCCCAGAAAAGAAAATCAAGCTGGTTGGCTGCTTTGGTAGGAACGCTGAAAGTGGCGATATTTTCTAAGACGCAGCATCTTTATACCGCGAGCGCGTCATCTGCAATGACATGACGGTGCAGTTAGTGATCCTGCAACTGGGTAATATATATATATATATATTTCTGATGCAGATTTCACTAGGGCCCTTAACATTTTGCAACCATATAAACAGGGTGATACTGTTACATACACTGCTGCTCCTACGTAGTCCTCAATATTGAAGATGTGGTGGAGTTCATAAGCAACATTCAAACTCTCTTTGACTTGTGGGTAGCAAGAAAGTCAGAGCCAGAGTCCAACGGTCTGCCCCGCCCCAAGGCTGGGCAGAAGGTGGAGACAGCCGCCCGAGCTTTTTGAAGTCCTCATCAGATGGGGTTTTTGAGGTTAAAGGTGTGTGTAGGTTTGTATATCGCTAAAGGTGTAGATAATATTGAGAAAAAATTTGCTTTTATGTTAAAATATAATCATGTATTTAGCCTCTCTTATTCAGCGGTGGGATGGTACAGAAGTATCACACTGAGGCTTCTATTCCTACCCGCTCGCGCATTGATATCGATAGCGATGGTGCCTAGCCTGTCAGCACTAGGGACGGAAGAATGAACGTTGACGTTAATAAATATCGCTTTGTATGGTTAGAGTTTCTAGTCGTTCTGTTCTAAGTGAATAGACTACACCGTGTGTGGGTGGGTATGCTGCGTGGCAGCCAGACCTCGCGATCTCGGAGCACTGTGGTTGTTTTGTCCAGGCCCGGCTCAGGCTCAGACTCGTCTGCTAGACCCTTCGCACACCTCACCAAAAAGGTGCCCACACGAACCACAATTACCTTACAACAGGTAAAGTAAGAACTAACTGTCCCTTGTGGCTCAGTTAGTTCATATATCATTTAACCACATCAGGAAAGTTGATGAGGGATGATCTAATTAGAGAAGCCAAATGCAAGAGTGAATGTTTACTTACTAACTCCAGAAACTCCCATGTCCTACAACAAAGGGCAGATAAATATAAGGCAAATCACAAATGAGTAGTAAAAAAGGAATAATTATTATACTAGCTGATGAGAAACTGGCTGTAAAGAATTATGTTCCAAGGCAACACTAGCCATCTATGAAATGGGACAACGCGGCTCAACGACTCAGTGGCTTGGGACAACGCGCGAGCCGCAAAAGCTGCCAAAAAGATGTTTGAGGAGGGCTACGACCTGCCAGACTCTAGCTTCGTCTCTGGGATCACAAGCATTGGGTGGAGACGACTTGACAAAGCCATTGACCCCACGTCAAATTGGGTATCAAGTAAGAAAGATGGCCCAGGACAAGATGTGGGTCATGCTGAATGTGAGCAAAAACAAAAACAAAGCAAACTGGCTGTCAAGAATTGTGTTCCAACGCAGTAGTGCTTCGGAGGAACAGCTGCTCCCCATTTTTCACGTAGGTTAATATCAACCAGGACATACAGATTTGTTAAGAGCCTCCATGTGTCACTAAGAATATATATATATATAGGCGTTTCTGCGCATGCGTTTGGTGGCCGGTGGGACGGGAGTGGTCGTTCGACTCCTGCTCCTGGCACACGACGAACTGACACTGCTACCTCTGTCCAGACAGACATATATTTGTCATGTACATAATCCTTCACATACGTAAGAGAATTCCAGTGATTTTTGCCATTTAAGTTATGTACGGTATGTACAGCTTATTTCTCATTAGCAACTGAATGTTAGAACATCGCCCCATCACTCGCTGTCGAGGCGAGGCAGCAGAGAGCAACTTGGGCGGTGGAGTAGTGAGGAGTGGGACTAGGTACACTTTCAGTTGAAAAGGCGTCTGAATCTCTAGAACAAGGGAAAAAGTGGCAATGGCAAGTATGTTTTCATGTCTACGTTGGTTTATTAGCCATATTTGCAACGATCTACATCCACTGCCCATTTACACTCTATATAAGGAGCAACGAAGGAAGCCTGATCCTGACAGCAAGAATAAGAAGGAAAGGAGTAAAAAAAGATGCATGTTGCTGCCTAAGGGTTAAAGCTGTTTTCTTGGGGTGTTAATTGCGCATGCATTCACACTTTGCAGTCCCACCCAGACACGGTCGATGACTCTTCTAAGAGGTAGGTAGGTAGATATACCTCTGCTGCCAAGACTTCATTGGACCGAAGTTGTTACACTGATATAAAAGTCCCAACATTTATAAACCGACGAGCGAGAAATTAAACGCTGGACAGCGACGTTTTTTGCGCATGCGTGTCGAAAAGGCGTCTGAATCTCCAGAAACGGCATCTGAAAAGCCAAGCGGCAATGGAAAGTATGTCTTTGTTGGTTGCATGTTTCGTAGCTATATTTGCAACGCTCTACGTCCACAGATCTGGATGGCTATGGCGACCTGGTGGTTCCTGACTACGACATCGATCCAGACACCATCAACGGTGACGAACCATTTTACTATGAAGCGAACATACCTCTGCCAGTACTCCAGTAAAAACCAGCAAAGGTTTTATGGCACACACAAAGAGGAAGGGACAAACCTGCAGGAGAGCTTAAGGCCGTAAGAAAGGAACTTTTCCATCAAAAGATGCTACACGTATTTTTCCATCCCTGGCTGTGACTCCTGATAGCTGATGTGATTTAGCTCCTGATGAAGATTTCTTTGGAGCGAAAGGGAGGGCCAGCTGGGAACATTGTGTAGGTGCCTACGGATTAACCACCCTCCATGCTTCAGTTCTGTCATTCGTGACTCGAGGACACAAAAATGCCTCTCTGCATTATCACTCATCCGCTTGACTTCTGTCTGCCTTGCACGACTGACGAGCGACTTTGCACTCACAATGTGTGCCCTGCATGTCTATCTTTGAGGCACAGAGAGCATATGAAGTGTTGCACCGCTCACAGAAGAGCTGGATACTATTACTGCATGTATAGTAAAAGCAGAGCACCTGAGAATGATGTTGTTGCTGAGCTTTCTCCCTCATGCAGACAGCATTCTCTCCTGGCAGGAGGCAGAGCTACACAAACCAAGAGGACACAGAACTTGACTACTGTGCATGGGTACAAAATATAGGGTGTGTAGGGGAAATTCACAATTACATAGCCTAACAACACAAAGGACCCTGCAGAACTTCGAATTTACCATTAGCCATATCGAGCCGTTTGGTAAAACACCACCCTCAGCATCAGCCTGCATCTCCAATCAGACTCTGAAACTGACACTGATATAATCACATAAAAGGGCTCCAGTACCCCAAATTTTACTGTATGTGTATTACATAAGGGAAAGGGTCTGGTGACATTCGTGCTGAATCAGCAGTCACATGACCGTCAACCAATCACAGCGCGTATTCAATAAACTGCTCAGTCCCCATTTTTTGGGTGGGGTCTCGAGACGAGAATACATAAAAGGCTGCTCGGCTGCCGTCTGCCGCTCCTGGGTCCTGCCGTCTGTCGCTCCTTCCGAGTCCTGCCGTCTGCCCCCTCCCGGAGTCCTGCCGTCTGCCCCCTCCCGGAGTCCTGCTGTCTGCCGTTCCTCTCCCCGGCTCCTGCCGTCTGCCGCTCCTGGGTCCTGCCGTCTTCCGCTCCTGGGTCCTGCCGTCTGCCGCTCCTTCCAAGTCCTGCCGGCTCTGGTTTTGCTCTGGCTGCACGTCGAGAAAGTTATGGAGACTCGTAGGCTCCGGCCCTGCTCCCCTTCTGCCCTTACGATGGACGTTCCCGCGGTACGTATGTTTGGGTAAGGATTGTGAAGAACAGACCTGGCGTGTAACTGTTTCTGTGTGTGTTAGGGGGCCAGGACTACGTCTTGGAGAGTGCGCCACATTGTAGGTTGTATTGCTCCTTTTTTAGTGTTGTTCGCTGTAGCTAACTTCTCCCCCTAGCCTCCCTCCGTCAGTGTTTATTATGCAGTTGCAGGTGGAAAACTGCCCATCAGAGCTAGGGGACCCTGGGTTGTTTTGGATTCTTGACGACCTCATGGTCCACAGGGCACTTGGGCTCCCAGGAGCACCTGTACAGCAAGGTATGTCATTGCTACCAGTTATTGGCGAGCAATGCGAGCCTACATAATCCTAGCGTCCGGCGTTCAATAGTCCCGCACGAGATGACGGTCTTGCGCTATCGTCTCTTTCTCGCATCTTTCAAGTTCCCTCTGCTTGGAAACACGGCTGTGCGCGTATACGGAGCTTATTTGAACATGTTATGTACTCCGTATACTCAGGACATACCGGATTTCAATGAACCCTCAGGCCATCCGCGTAGTGCCCTCGCTGCGCTATTATATCAGCTTGGACATCTTTGCCGAGTCACTGGAATGCTAGGAGCCGGCTGCGCCATGTCCGCTAAACAAGGCAGATTGCTGGTAACGCTAACAAAAGAGGCTACAGTAGAAACGCAAGCTGCAGAAAGCGTGTTGTTTTCTGGAGCAGACGAGGGTGAGGTGGCCGGCTCAACACACACACTTACAGTGTAAAGTGTAACTATTAAGAAATTAATAAAAAATTTCGGGATTACTCCTTGCTTTGTTGCTAAGTATGTACGAGGATTGTTGACTATGCTTACGTTTGCGATTATCTTAGAAGTGAGTCATTTATATAGTTTGTACACCGCCACCTCTCCTCCACCCGCTGCTTAGGCGGCTGGCGGTTTTATTCGCCATTCCGAGGCTGCCAATATTCATCAAAATCTCAAGTGTAACAACTTCAACATGTGTGTATCTATCTCTATGTGCCCTCACCCTCCGCCCTTTCTCGCCAATATCGTTAGTGCATATAGTGCCATGTACAACTATTTCTTCCACTTCACTTTTGTTTTCAGAAAAACCACAATTTCAGGATGATAGTGAATTGTCTTCTGGAAGCAAAACACCCCTGAAGGTAAAAGGAACTGCCGAAAGGTAGCCAGCCTGCCCAAAATACCTGAGTGCAGGACAGCTGGCAGCCCTGTACACCCCCAACCGGTCCTTCCGGGGGCAAGGCAGCCGCACAACCACTATACCAACGCCATGCGTGAGTGGATGAGGAGGGAGGTGCTTTTGGTTGCCTCCACAGCAGTTCCAGCACAAGTTACCCCAGATTTGTCTTGTCCGGCTAGACCAGTGGTAAACAACAGTTGTATTGGTAGTAAAATAATTCCTACACATTCTCCAATGGGTGCGGGAAAGTACTACTAACTCAGGACGAGAGAATCTGTGAGCTGAGCAGAAGTGCGCAGGCTTGCCAATTGTATGGCTGGACAAATGGCCGGGCCAAAGTGTTTCTGATATGTTGACAACAGGAAACCCCTACTATGACTGGTGCGGGTTTGTTGGGTCCAAATTGAAAGGTGTCGTGGACATACTTGCCCAGTCGGGCCACTCCATCGTAATCGGAGAGATCAAGGGCCTTAGATTTTCCTGCTCAGAGGGCATTTGGCAGTTGGTTGGAGCCATGCACACGGCCTTTGAGAAGACTGGCAAGTGGATACGTTTTCAATCTTTTCTGCGTTCCTTTTTTCATAACTCTGTTTGATGTCATTTCACCGCATTTGTCTTACCTGTACACCAGCGATAGATGATTCCATCATTGACCCATGTCTGTCATTTTCTGCGCTGGTTGCGTTTCTGTTGAGTGCGGAGTATTTTCTGCAGTTTGAAGATGTGTAAGCAAGTAGGGTTGCAAGAACAAAGGATTAGCTGGTGCCAGGGTTGGCTTGTCTGTGGCTGGGAGGTGGAAGCTTCTGTGAGGGTGTAGCTATATAGCATAAAACAGACCATCTTCCATCAGTCAGCTATATACAGTGAGTCAGGGGAGGAGAAGAGGCAGGTGAGGTCTTTTTGCTAGTTTTTCCGTGCATGCTTATTCTTTTTCTCTATCTAGGCAGTATGAAGAGAGTAAGAGCAAGCGGGACATTTTTTCCTGGCACTAGTGACCTCGCTCCCACCAACCACTCAACCACATTCACTGGAATGTATTTTCCTTCACACATCGAGAGATTTCTTACACATTATGTTACTACATCTACGAGCCATTAAATTATCCAAGGATTCCGTCACTGACACTGCCGGTATACGAATCAACCAAAAGCTATGGAGACAATGGGAACCTGACACAACTGTCAAGATTTAGATACTTACGTATAGACTCCATCTGGAGTTAAAATTTCTTCAACTAATGTGCCTGCAAAAACTGTTGACACCCTTATAGAGAGGGGGTTAAACAGCAAAGGGACAGTATGTTACTATTCCACGAATGGCATAGGGCTTGATAAAGTAAACCCAAAGGTCACACACACGTGGACTAGTACGACATTCAACTAGGGTTACGACCCAGCCGGCAGCAGCTGCCTGACTCTTCCAGGGCAGTCTCACCTAACTCTTCCACAGCAGACCACTTCCTACCCTGGGGAAAGTAAGAGTAAGATCTATAACACAAGTGTAGACCGATGTACTGGGCTTGGTGTTGTGTGTGGCCATGGCTACATTTTGGTTCGTCATCCAACTTCCCAGTGTTTGCAAGAGGGATATCCAGAAGTCCCCTTCGCTGACCAATCCACAGAGGGAGGGAGACCCAGCCACAGAGCTCCAGCCATCCCAGCTTCAAATGACGTGACTAGTGATGGCTGCCCACACAGTCTAAGGAAAGGCGGATAGTTATATGCAGATGGTGAAAGAAGCTAAACTGGCCGCCACTGAGGTAGAATCCTACTACCCTTCTATCACTTATTCCAAGTACATGATTAGATTTACATTGTGTTTCATTGTGCCCGGATCTAACTATAGGAGAAACAGGAGAAGGGCATGCCTTGTGTGTGGCCAGTTTGAATGCAAAATCAAGTGGTTTTTACACCAGAGCGAAAAGATAGTAGGGGTGAAGGGACAGTGAGATAGAGTGTGCTACTATTCCATACTCCATCTAGAGCTAAAGTATCCGTGCCTGAATCTGAATGACTTCGAATGGTGGAAACGGTTGTGTGCCACTCGCAGAGGATCCCTGGGAGAGAGTGTGCAGGGAGGAGGAAGGGAGGGAAGACTTGGTGAGCGGGATTCCCGTCCTGCCGACGTACACGTCCACGCTCGGCGGAAGGCCAGTGTAATGGCCGTTAATCTTCCTCCGCGCTGCGCGGAGGGCCACTATAGTGGCCACGTAATTCATGTAAAAAAGGTGTGTGCGATTTAAAAATCTTCGTGGACAACGTTGCGGGTGTACGCAATGAACGCGTGCAACGTGTTATGGTTAATTGTTTAATGGAAATGTTGCAGGACAGACCTTCTCTGGGCTTTTGGTGGGCTTGCGGCCTTAAGTGGGCCTGTAAGGAACTAGACACGAGTGCTTAGGCATGTCCAACTCTGTATAACTGTCACTGGTTAGACTGTGGGAAGGGGTTCATTCGCTCGAGAGAGCGGCTCAGAGCTAAAGTATTAACACTTCCGTTTATTCCCGTCAATCTCCCAAGCTTAGTGTGCGTGCAGTCCAACGGCATAAATAGCCTCACCCCTAGCGATCAGTCACTGCGGAAACTGTCCTTCGCAGAGAGAATTGAAAGGTGAGAGAATTGAGAGCCCTGTGTGCAAAAATGTGCTGACCAGTCCAGTAATGCCCAGTTTTCACGCACTATGGTAACGGTTGTCATGGATTGTCTATCCATCACGTTGCGCGCGGAAAGCCAGTATAACGGCCGTTAATCTTCTTCCACGACGCGCGGAGGGCCACTTTAGTGGCCACGTAAAAGGGTGAGTGCGCGCGTGTGATTTAAACCGCGTAGACAACATGCGTGCAACGTGTTACGATTAATTGTTTAATATTTGAAGATCATCGAAAGTTCCCCTTTTTGCAGTTGGAAAGAGAGCTTCCTCTGCGAGCTTATTTCTGTGGCCAGAAAAACGACGTGGAAAAAGCACGTGCTCCTTCACCTGTGAGTGTTAAAGTCGGAGAACGTTCCAAAGATGGAGGGGGTCATGTAATAGAGGGGGGGGGTGAGAGCCACCTCCTTTTCCCTAACAGGGAGGGAAAGACTCTAGACCATCTCTCACGGCACGTGGAGGCGCTGGGAACCAAGCTCCCACGCACAGCCACCGAAACGATCACTTGGACAGACCACTTGGTGCTATTGTATACACACGCATAAAGCCTGGGAAGGCATGCGACACCGCTGATGAAATACGCAATTCCCAAATAGGGCAACTTCTCTTTTATCTACTCACACTGCAATTGAAGAGACGTAGAATGACTCGGCCGATGAGGGAATGATCCTTGCTGAAGCCGACGCGGAACGGCGGGGATTTTAAGAAAGTTTTTAGTCTAAAGCGCTACGAAGAAGGGTACGATGTGTTAGACCAGGAATATCAGGCGTGGCTGCAACACTACCACCAAGACCCGGCTGCCCAATTGATTAGTCTTATGATACCTTTGCTCTCTGCTTCTTTCCATCCACTTTCCATAACGATGAAGCATAGGTTCGGGGTGGTTCAAGCATAGCGAACCTCATCGAACCTACACGAGAACCACATCACGCGCTCCTGCAGAAGGTGCTCCAGGCTATTCTCCGGGAGGTGCTCTCAGGAATCCTGGATGGGGTACTTCCAGAGGCCGTTCTGTGCGGGCCGGGGCCGAGGCAGAGCCAGAAGGCTACGACACAGCAGAAGCAGAAGCGGGTGCGGGTAAGTTGTAAACGGTTACAGCAAAGTAGCACCAGTCAACCACTGAGGTGTCTCTCCACTAGCCACCTGCCGCTGAGGACGAGGATGAGGATGAGGACTTCCGCTCTCATTCACAGGTCAGTGAAGGGAAACAGATTATGTAGAATCAACTCCACCGAAGAGAGATGACCGAACCTCCTTGAACTACTGTGATGCCCCTTGGACTGCAGTGGTCCGTCTCTGCTGAAAACAGTTGCTCCCCGCATCGACACCCCTCCCCCATGGAGGTCGAGCCCCCCAGGCCTTGCAGGGCATCTTCACCCTGATGACATTTTGCGACGCCCGATTACGTTGATTATTAGTCAATAAGATGTTGAACGTACTTTAGTCATTGGCTTGTAAGCTTCCCCGTTAGCAGAGAGTCCCCACTGAGACTCCCTCCCAGGTGGGGCGACGAGGACGAGGGTACCACAAGTTCCGCAACGGATCAGGAAAATGTGGATCGGGAAGATTTAAACTTTTCAATTTGTAAATAAACAGCAAAGGTTTATATTCACTCTGGCGGGGGTTGTCGGCTGCTGGCAGCCCTGTACACCCCCAACCGGTCCCTTCCGGGGGCAATACCACACAACCACTATACCAACGCCATGCTGAGTGGATGAGGAGGGAGGTGCTTTTGGTTGCCTCCACAGCAGTACCAGCACAAGTTACCCCAGATTTGTCTTGTCCGGCTATACCAGTGGTAAACAACAGTTGTATTGGTGGTAAAATAATTCCTACACATTCTCCAGGCAACAACGACCTGGAGGACGACGGCCCAGCCCTGCTGGTCTTCTATTCCTCAAGCAGCCTCTTCGACATGGTGGGACTGTTAAGAGATTTGCATGTTGTAATGCTCACAAACTTCGTGCACTTTCTGAGTGTGCATTTTTTCTTTCTTTTGGCCGACCCTCCATGCTCTCTCATGTCTTGGCATTTCTGCATGTTGCCGCAGTTCTCCCATGACTGACACTCCCACATGTATGTAATAGTGTCCCCTCCAGGACTGGGTGGCAGGGGCAGAGGCCACCATGACTGACACTCTCTACGATAAAAGTGGTTTTAGTTTACTACGTTGTATGAGTATGAATATCGAATGATGTCATTGTCTTATATATGTACAGTAGAAGTCAAAAAAACGTTTCCAAAATCGTTCACCGTTCAACCGTTGAACGGCGTTCGAACGGAGAAACGGAAAACGGAAACGGAGAAACGCCGTTCACCGTTCAGACCGTTCGACAATTATCCGCGCGTGTGCCACTCCCACTTTTTCTAGTTACGGCCGTACGCTATCCTGAAGTAGCGAGGCGCGCTTTTACCACAGCCTAAGCCTTGGCAAAGGCCACGGCATCAAAAGTTGCCAAAAATAACCGTCGATTTCGGTGCTAGACTTCCGCCGTGGTGAATTCGTCGATAGCTTTTAGCGCGCATCGCGGGTTGCGTAGCCGCGAACACGAACGGTCAACGGATGAACGGTGAAACGTCGTTCCGTCGGAAACGGATGAACGGTGAACGGTGAACGCCGTTCAACGGTTGAACGGTGAACGATTTTGGAAACGTTTTTTTGACTTCTACTGTATGTACATGTTTCAACTGCAGTATATTGCAAAACTAAGTCTATTTGCGCGCACTTGGACCCGGAAGTCGTTGTGCATATAGTAATACATATCCTTAACCCCCACTCTCTTCCTCCAGTGGCTCCACGACCAACGACAACGGAGAAGTGGAAATTGTTTTAAAGTACAATCAGTTGTACAATAACAAAACAATTTTTGCAGTGACCGATTACATATTAAACTGCTTCTTACAGTGCTTTGTTTATTATAGCTGCATACACTCTGACCAAATGCTATGCTCATTCCATCTTCAGAATATAAGGATGGAAGCCTCTTATTGTATGAAGAATTATGGGGGGGTCAAGTGTTCTGTAAGTTGTAAAAAAACATTTTTTTTACTCTGTCTATGATAAAAGTAGTTTTCGTTTACTAGTCAGAATACGGCATGTGCTGACGTTGCTGTGACGTATATACTTCCACTTTTTATCATGCAGTAAAAATAATGCTACTTCTTGTAATGGGGAGAAAGTGCGACGTATGCATGGAGGGCTTTGCTGGAATGGACAGTGATGGGTGCAAATGTATATACAGAAGCACTTGAAGCGCCGATACTACTCTCTGTGTCGGAGAGCGGAGATCTCCAACCCAGTTTAGTTCATGAAGTCATCCAGTCGTAGACTGTGCCTCCGACCCCGTCGAAAAGGTGGGACAGCACTTTTCCAAGGTGCACAGGCTGGACGCCCAGGCGGTGGGCCAAGCTCTATAGTGTACACTCTCCTGCACATCCTTACTTTTATGTGTATAATTGTGATTATGTATATAAAATATTACTTCACTGGGGATGGTGATGCTTGAGCTAAAAATATTTGCAGCTGGTGTATACATACGAAGACAGTCTCGGCGGTTGCTGCCGCTGTTGTTGGCGGTGATCGCCACGAGAATCTCCGAGCATGGGAGAGAATGAACGTGCTTATGAGTGACTTATCGTCTGACGCTGACGCCGCCTATGATTTAGCCTATAGAGTGTAGACTCTCCCGCAAATCCATGGTAGGACGCCCTGAAAGAAATGGAGATAAGGAACAAGCGCCTGGAAGAACCGAAGAGCGATGCAGTGTCCCGCTCAGAAAGTTAAGTTACACTTTTTAAAAATAGTTTAGTGCAGAACATGCCAGGATGAGTGCCATGGTGAAGGCAGCTCTGGGTCTTCACAGGACCCATCCCCTGTGTTCTCTTCTAGGAAAAAGCCTTGTCTTAACTGGCTCTAAAGTTGTTTTGTTCTATTTGCTGCGTTTTGATTGTTTAATAAATATAATCAGAAGATAGAAGATGCAACTGCCGAAGGACACGAAGGAGACTCCATGTATGATGTCAGGGAAGGAGAGGTTATGAGTTACACGTACCGTACTTTCATTTACAAAAGACCACTATGCATGCGTACGCAATTCCACATGACGAGTTAGAACTGCATCATGGCCTTGGACCATGTCAAAATGGAAATGTATTTGGACATTCCCCTCCCCAGAAATGTGCATTCAAAATACCTCCAACAACACCTTTGTCAACCTTTTCTCCTCTCTACCACTCCCACACCCATTGCTCCTACCTCTGTTGCTCCCACTTCCGTTCCTCGGAAAATGGAGGATAGGGTTTGTTGTGGCGAGGGCCATTGAAAGTGGAGATGAAGTCGTGTGTGACTATCTGGTGGGGGGTGAAGATTGGAGTGCGTGCAGTCTGATTGATGGTGTTGTCAAGCCAGCAGCACGAGTGGAAAAGAGACAGGGAGAGCAATAAGCGAGGGAAGATGATGCGATGAAGGGAGACGCAGATGAGGGGTTCGAAGTTGCCATGAGTCGATCCGCAAGACATTTGGCCTGTGCCATTGCCCGGTGGAGGGATGTACCAGCAAGCCACTGGTTAAACTGAGCAATCACTTGTCTCAGGTACACAACATGAGTCCAAAGGAGAGAGCCAAATACCTTGGCTTAAAACGCAAGTTTGCCTCAAGTAAGGACGTTGCAGATAAGGTGAAGAAAACCACGCTGCGAAGATCGCAGAGAACACTGCCATCTATGGTTGCTCCCTATGGAGTTCCATTCCTTCCGTTGCTTCTGCTTCTACTTCCATCGGTCCTACCTCCACTGCATTATTCTGAAGAAGGGGCAAAGGAGGGGGGGGCCCCCCCATGTCGGCCCTTTACAAGAGCTATTATAGAGTGGACGTGTATTGAAGTCGGGGAAGGGGTTCATAAAGCATATTATCAGAGTTAAGAATAACTCTTGTTTAGATGCAAAACCGGTAAGAAGGTATGTCTCTTGGTACAAAGAGGGGCAAGGCAATGCTTGTTGTTGCAAAGCTCGAGTGTCCGCTCTGGGACTGGGGCAGAGGCCACCATGACTGACACCCCCACATGTATGTAACAGTGTCCACTCCAGGGCTGGGTGGCAGGGGCAGAGGCACCATGACTGCCACTCCCAGGGGCCACAATGGCCGGCACACTCCATAGGCAATGGCATGGAGACAATGGGTTTGAATTCATATTCCCTGTTGTTGGCTATATCAAGCAATGGAAAATCCCGGCAAGGCAGTCGTCAAGAGGAAAGATGTTGAACCAACTGATTGAACTAAACTAACCAAACATCTTTTATTCCACAGATAACACTGAGGCACACAACAATGGAGGTGGAAAATGGGACATTAATATTTAATATGCATATTGGGGAGGAATTTCCCTTTTCTGGCAAGCCATGAGTCGATCCGCAAGACATTTGGCAGCGAAACCGTCGTGATAGATACTTCACTACACAAAGTAGATACGGCTAATCAAACACCCGCATGGTAACGAAGGGAATTTACTAAATTTCCACCCAAAATCGGTAAATATGCGCTTTTGTGATAAATGTCAGCGGAAAATAATTTTGACACAAATGGCATGACTTCAGTGTACGTTGGAACAATCTGTTGCCGAAAGAAGCCGTCGAAGCTGGTGTTTAGATTGGACTCATTCAAATTGCCAGATTCATGCCTGAGCCACCAGCTGCGTCAGAGTTTCCGCACCCGCTGAAATTATCTCGGCATAGTTACAGTCAGTTGGAGAAAAAGAAAAAGGTGCAGTGAATCATGTCGGATTGGTTAATTGACCAGTACCAGAGCGGACAGTAAACAGCACGGTGGCTCTTCGCACATGCGCAGGAGGCCGGCCGCAGGATAAAACCCGGTCGCGGGTCAGTTGTCCGTTTTACGTGGTATAGCCTCCCCAGCCGATTATGAATCGGATTCTTGCTTCCGTCTTGTTTATCACTTTCTTATCCTGTGGCACTGGCTATGCAGGTGAGGGTCGCAGAAGATGTTTTAGTACAGTCTGCTAGGATGTCGCGCTTTTTCAGGTAAAGCGGCGTTTCCACGTATAACTCCTGATGGCTATAATGCCAATCTGAACGAGAGCAAAGTGGAGTTGAGATGCTTGCTACCTAGTGGGACTAGAATAGTCCTGTGGTTCATTAATACAGTCAGTATCTTTCAGACTGAAGACCAAAATCTGAGAGAGAGGGGAATCTGTATCAATACCGGAAGCAGAGTGGCTGGATATTCAACCTATGTACCTATTTTCATTGAACCAAAAGCTGAAAACGATAAGAACGCCAGAGCATAAGGCATAATGGAGTAAGAAGAAAAACATGACCATATTTACAAACATTTTGACTCTATAGTTACTAGTTGTTGTATTC